AACCTTTATTCTTCTGGCCAAGAGTATCTTTGCTTGCTCATCCAGAATATCTAACTTCTGTAAGATTTTTTCTGTCATTGTCAGTCAGTAAATTCCTATTTAAAAAGGAGAAAAAGGAAGAAATCTCTAAAACAATTTAAAAATATAATTGATTATTTAGGCATAAGTTAAGAGATTCACATTTACATTACTGCTTTAAATAAAAAAACAAAACTATGTAGATCATAGAATAAATCATAGAACTCTAGAGGTACCCCAGTTTTTTTGATAGAAGGTCACATGTTCAGAATTCCCAGGTGTGTGTGGGTCCCAGGAATTTTTAAATGTATGATAAAGGTGAGTTGAAGAATGCTCAAGATTACTATATGAAAACCAGACATGATGCATACTTGAAGGGTATTCAGCTTGATTTATATCTATTTTCTTTCTTTTTGTTATGATGTAATTTTAATGAAAATAAATGTGAAGAGCTCACATTTATGTAATCAATTGCATTCAAATTAAATTGGTCAATGATCCAAGACTGGTAATATGGCACTTAGAAGGCAATCAGTCACACAGAGCAGCAACAGCCAAGCTGGTTAGGTCCTATTGCCATAATAATACTTCATATTTTCTAGTTAATTAATATTGCTGAAAATTTCATTTGAGGTCAAATGGTCCATTTTAGGCTTGAGGAACTGAATATTAGATATGAGGATCTGGTCAAATTTATTTTCATTTTTTAATAAAAAAAATTAAAAGCCACAAGTACCTTTTCAATGTAATACAAATAGCTAGGGGCAGAGTGGAGGCAAGGATCGGAATATTAACTCAAGCTCCCTCTATTTATTTTTAAAATTGAATAGATGATTATTCATTCAATATATTTTTGCTCAGTGAATTGAATGGGTTCCAGTGGCATTTAAGTGTAAAAGTTATATGGTTCGTAGAAAGCATTGACTTCATCAATATTTCTAAAGAATATCAATGTCCACACTAAGGTTCTTTGTAGCTCAAAAAAATCTATGCTGTTGCTCTCATATTGTATATTATTCAGTCAATATCACACAAAGACAATAACACATGGAAAGACAAGGATTTAGGATTCTATGTCAAAAGCTCACATTATTTTGTCCTTAATTTCTTTTAGCTCTCTTTTCTACCCTCTTTCCTTCACCATATATTGCCCTGCGTGTGAATTCCTGGTCCTCTGAGACGGCTTTCCCATTCCAGGATGCCCTCTGCTATTATGCTACACCCAAACCCTCCACTTCCATCCCACAATATAGTCCAATGTGACAAAGGACTTTTTCTGGGCCAATGGGCTGCAGGCAAATAGCCTGCTTGTTCTGAACCACATAACCTTAGGTTGCAGGTCAGGAAGGGGAGATGCAGAAAGAGCGTTAGCACAGAGTGAATGCCTCAGACTCTCTGAGTCTCTTACAGGAAAGTAGCAGACAGATATTGGAAGACAATATAGATTAGCTGAACATTGTATACTGTCTTCTCAGACCCAGGAACCAGCTCTCTCATATATCCTAACAACAACTAAAGGAATTTTAGTTTCTGTGTTTCCCTGAAACATGAGTTCAAGGAGGTGAGCAAGGCGCTCATATTTCTCACCAGTTTCTTTTATCGGGGACAAAAACTTCTATTTCTCAATAAGAGATAGAATGGTAAGTAACTGGAAGAGCCAGTATATTGAAGTGAATGAGTTTCCCAGTTTGGGGAAGGTATAAATTACATGAGGGACAGCTGAGACATGCTGCTTACTTGTGACAGGGAACAGAAAGCAGGTCTTTTTAAAAAGAGTAAGGTGTCCTACACCTTTTATTTGTAGAGTCCTTCATCTTCAACAGCATATCAGACATGTTAAGATGCACCAAAAATCCCGTTTTACACACACAAACACACACACACACACACAAACCACACACACACACGCACACACACACCGCACACACCATACAACACCATACATACACACACATACACCACACACACACACACACACACACACACACACACAGTTGTAATTTGAAAAAGTTTTTATGTTTTTGATTTGAAATTATTTTGCTGTGAATAAATCATTTAGCTATGATATGATTTCTGGCAAATCACTGTGCATACCATAAATTTTTCTGAAATGAGAAAAACTAACCAACCAATTATTTTCAAGGGTCAGTGAGATTTTTATGAATATTAAATTTGACAGTTAATGGAATCGACAGGATGTTATTAGTTTTACTTTTGCAGTTTTATTTTCATATTTTGGAACCTTTTTTTTTAGTTTGCAAATGTTTTCCTTGGCCATTGGCAATGTGCCAATGGTTCCTAATGGACGAAGAGCCCTGGAAGAAAGTGGAGGTGAGGAAACACCATAGGCTATCTTGCTTGCTTTCATCATTATACTAAGCATACCAAGGGCCTAGCTTGTGTCTCTTCAAATAACTGCTGCGAGCAAAGGAAAATCAGGTCTAATAGGATGGTGTAACTCAACTGTTTTGCACAAACTAAAAAACTAATCTTTTAATGCAAAATGTATCAAGACTACATTAAATGTTCCTCAATAAGACCTGTGTTTCAGTCATTTCTTGATTAAATCTTTAGTGTCTACTTACTTTAAACCAGCATATTTCATACTTCTACTTCATATTTCTATTTCTGTGGGCACATATTCTACTTCATTATTAAGAGCATAGACTATCATTTGATGATGAACATTTATTTGCTCATCTGGCCACTGGCTACCTAGGTGTATTGCATGAAAGACATTGTGGTAGGGTTCTATCAAATTTACTGAGAAAGTGGCCACTTGGCAGACATTTTTTTTGTGACCTTTATCTTCCTAGGCAAGGCAGATGGCCTCTCCTATTTCACTAAAAAAAGAGAGACCATAAGGTAAGAATTTCATCAACTTCTACCTCTAATACCAAAGTCTTTTCTGTATCCATTTTCCCATCTTAGCTATATTTTAATTTTAAATGGTAGTATTGTCTCTCCCATCCAAAGCTGATCTCTCCCAATATACCTTAAACTCTCCTACCTCTGGCCTCCTTAAAGAGTTACTTGAATTGGTTATTCTCTCTTTCCTGTGTGGTTCATCTCTTTTCTTTACCAGTTTCTTCTCCTTAGCACGCTCATGTCTCTTCTATTAAAAAAAAAAATTTTTTCCCCTGACACTACTAGCCATTCTTCTCACTCATTTTCCCTTTATTACCAAATTTCCTAGTAGTAGTCTATACTTTAGAGTTTCTAATTTCTTACATCCCTTTTCCTTCTCAATCTACCATCATTTGGCTTCCTTCTAAACTATACCACTAAGTCTGCTTTTATAGGATACCAGGGTCACCATCTTATAAATTAGTGGACACTTTTCTGCTCTTCTTTACCATATTTGAGTGTTTACAACTTTTGCTAATATTAGCCATTGTTTTCTATGGATCTCCCCTCTTTTGGTTTCTATGAAAACAATCACATCTTCTTGTCTTCTCTGAAGATTCCTTGTCATTGTCTTCAACTTGCTCTTCTTTCTTAGATCACTGCCTAAATGTTACTGTATTTAGGCATCTCTTCCATTATTCCTTATATTCTTCAGGATGACCTCCCAAACCCATGGTTCATCTACCACCATCTATTTCCAAACAAAATTTCCCTTTCAGTTCCAAACCTAGATATCCAGCTCAATCCAGATTCCCCTCAGGTAGCCCAAATGTAGGCCTAAAAGTAAATCCATCCTCCTCGCCCACAGCCAAAAATCTCTTCTAACGTTTATTATCACATCAGTTACCCCTTAGGCATCCAGCCCATAAACTTAAGAGTTATAATGGTTCTTAACCTTAGTTACACTGCAGAATGAACTCAAAAACTTTCAAATAATACAGATTCCAAGTTGCCAGCCCAGGCCTGCTAAGTCAGGATTTCCAGAGGCAAAGACTAGGGATCTATATTTTTAAGTTATTCTAATGCAGCTGTTCCCCAAACCAGGATTTGGCCATCCCTCTCCTAGAAAACTCCTTCTTATCCTCTCTCTAAATATACACAATCACTTTCTCTTGTATATGATGTATCCAGCATATTTGTTTATATTAGTTTTTCTCCTCTTATCCATCCATATTGCTATTGCTTCAGTTTAGGATTCCCTAAATTGCTGTCTGGATTATTGCAATCGTGTCAAAATACGCCTATACATTTGATCCATTCTATCCTTCACATTTGTCTGAAATTTTTTTAAGAAAAATACAATCACATGCCTCTGCGATTAAAGCTTCAACCCCCACCTACAGCTTTCAGGACAAAGGTCAAGCTCCTTGATTTATCATACAAGTCTCATGTTTTGGTTTCTAACTAAGTCATTAACCTCACCTGCCTCTTCCTCATTACACTTGATATCTCAGTCCTAAGGAACTTGCAGTTCCTCAAATGTGTTATATTTTCCTTTCTGGTTGCTTTGCTTTTGCTGTTCCCTCTCCCTACAATGTTGTTCTTCCTTACATTCCCTATATTTCTAAGTCCTATTCATCATTTAAGACCCAACACAAATAGCACCCCTGCTGGGAAGTTTTCCCTGATACATTATGATTTAAATGTCCAATGTCTGTGCTCACATGATAGGCTATGAATACTGCTATCCTAGTATTTATCACACTCTTTTAAAGCATTTGACATACTTGTTTTATTCCCCCTCTATATTATGTGCTTCTTGAAGTCAGGGACCATGCCTAATTCATCTTTGCACCCCTAATAACTAACAACCTAAATGAATTAGTTAACCATCAAACAGAGAGGAAGTGGGCAACTGTAAATGCTATGATTGCTTTTAGCCTTCATTTACGTTCATGGGAATACACACATCTGTGACAATGTTCTGTTGCAGTCCTTCTAGATCAAGCCATAGCATTAAAAAAATATTGCTTTCTCCTCCACCTTTAAATTTAGAATGGCAGCATAGTGTATAGGTTAAGAACATGTACTCGGAAGTCAGGCAGCGTGAGTTTGAATCCTTGGCTCTGCTACTTACCAGATGTGTGACTGTGGTTTAATTGCTGAACCTCCCCTATGTTACCTCATCTGTGAAATGGGAATAATAAAAGTAC